AGTGGCGTGCGCACTGGCCGCGGCGTAACCGACCCACAGCCTCTCTCGCCCAGGGCCTTTTGCGTCCTCCTTGTAGCGGCGGGGACAGAACCCGCCCCCAGGCCCGCCCTCGCCGTATTTAGAAGCGCCGCCCTTTGGGTAGCTAATGAGGGCCCTGGGCACGCTCCTGGCTCGGGAAGTCGGAGCGAAAATCCAGGATCCCGGCTGTCGCGACCAGCCAGCGGGTGTCGCCACTGCTGTAACGTGGAAGCACCTTCGGCTTTTTCCTCGGCCTCCCTCAGCTCTAGACCAAGTGTTCTTCCAACTCCGCTCCAAATCCAGAAACGCACTTATTCCTTCCCTGCTTAAGATTGGAGTTAAGTCAGGAACTCAAAGTCCGTCTTACACCCCATCCCCAACAGAGGCCCTCCTCATGGGTCACAGTGTGCCTGTCTCGCCTTCATCCCTCTGCCTCCCAAGCCTTGGAGAGAGGGAGCAGGTGCAGCCTACGCCCGTGATTGAGATGACACCCTGGGAGTCAGGCCAAGGGTTAGGATGTGACTCCACTGCTCACATGTGTCCCTGACAGATTCCTTTCTCACCTACAAGGGGATATTACCTTTTACAGTTGTGAGGGTTAGAGTCCTGTATGTAAATGCTTAGTAGAATAACATATATTGAGCATTTTCTGTGTGTCATTGGGCCAAGTACCTGAGGTTCAGAGAGGGTTTCAATTGAATGTGTGGTGGTGTCAGAACTCAAATTCAGATCATTCTAAAGTCCATGCTTTTAACTATTTAACCCACTACTACTGTTATCACTGCTACTGTTTTTGTTACTGTTGTTAAAATTGTTCCAGATTTAATCTTTTACGGACTCTTTTTTCTGATCTCCAGTAGTTCCTAGTTTAATTCTGCTGGAAACAGGGGTGGGCTAGGTGTTGAGCCTCAGGCAAGAACAAAGGCCAGAATTTCCTCCTCAGGGGCAGAGCCTATCCTTAATCTTGTTCCACCTTAGTCCTGTCTACCTCAAGAATGGGTATTCAGGAGGCCTTCTGTTAACCCTAATAAAACATTAAAAATTGCCCGAGCCAAAATCCTGGAGTCATAACCTTGACTTCTCTCTTTATAGCAAACCCCATATCTAAATTTGTGGACTCTACCTTCAAAACACTTCTCCCCACCTCCACTGCTCTCACCTTGGTCCTATGCACCGCCGTCTCCCCAGGACCATCACATCAGCCTCCTCCTCACCTCCCTCCCCAGTGCCCAGTGTCTGTTCCCCAGAGGCAGTCAGAGGGAACCTGTGAACAACTAAGGTCACAGCCCTCCCATGTTTGGAGCCTTCCTATAGCTCCCTCACCCAGGGTGACCACCAAAGTCCTTGCAATGGCTTGCAAGTCCCCACAGATCTGCCCTCATCTCCTAAGTAACCTCCTCCTTGCTTCCTCCCCTCCAGATACTCCAGCTCCCTTAATGTCCCTGACTTACCAGACATGCTCCTCCCTCAGGGCCTTCCATTGATCCTTCTTTTACTTGCAGAGCTCTTCTTCCAGAAGACATCCACATAACTCCTCAGGGCTCTATTCGAATGCTCAACAGTGAGGCCTAACCTAATTACAATGGCTAAAACTGACTTCATCCCTCATCTCCACTTTTTCTCTACAGTACATATATCTTTCTTACATGTCAGTTATTTGTGTCACTCCCTATAAAGCTCATAAGCAGCTTGTGGGAAATTTTTGTATTCTGTTCACTGCTTTCTCTCCAGAGCCTAAAACAGGACTTGGCATATAATGAGTGTTCAATAAATGCATTTGGTGGAATGTATAAACTCAGCTGAAGAGTCTGCTTGGGACTAAAGGATATGGAGAAGAGAATTGGGTAGGAGACTGGTTTGACAGTTCAGGAAGGTGAGTGGATGGGGCACATCAACGCAAATAAAGAACACAGGCTGAGACTTTGTCGAAGACATTTCTTGGAGTGAATATCTCATGCCCCCTCCTCTGATGACAAGGCTGGGTCTTTGGCTCCCTCGCCACTTCAGCTGCACTGACAGTAACAATATTGAGGTCACAGACTGGCTTGGAATCAAGATCAGGAAGATAAATGTCAGGGTGCCTCCCCTAAATCTGGGAGGCGAAGTATTCAATCTGAGGGGCAAGCAGCTGGGAAATTAGGCCTGGGGGCTCCAGGGTATGAGGTCTTCCTGGCTCCCAAGATCAGCCCTCCATGCACCCAATTTTGGGGTGATGAAGAGAATTCATGGATCAGAGGTGGGTATCATCAGGGCGCAGGACTGGGAGACCTTGTCGAGGTGGTGTTGGGGGAACTTTCCCCCAGTCCCCACCGCTTCATTTGCAGATCCCACAGCACCTTACAGCATTCTGGTCCCCTGTCCCACCCCTCCCCAAAACGAGGTAGGTTAAGAATGGAGCTTTCCCTTGTCCACCACAGAAGGGAGGAGACTGGAGGCACAGAGAGGGGGATGGGGACCCAGGATGCCCCAGCCCCCAGTGACCTCTGTCTCAGCTATGGTGGTGCTAACAGTGATGAGAGCTGGGCAGAGTGGAGATGAGAGGGACATCCCCTTTTTCTCTTACCCATCCCAGGGTCTGGTTGGGAGAGCTGAATCTCACAGGTTCAGATGCAAGAAATAGTTAATCATTTAAAGGAAGTGACAGAAAACTCTCTCTCTAGCCCCCCTGACTCAATCCTTGAACCATGCCACCCAAGTCTGGGTATAGAAGGAAGGTAAGTGCACAATTCCAGATGCTTGGGACCAGATGCAGGCCCCAAGCCCATAAACTGAGTTAAGATGGTGTTGCTCCAAGACCTCAATCCCCTCATCCCTATTCAGGCCATCAGATCTGAGGAACCCTGAAGTCCATTCCACTCAAGGGAAAGAATCTTTGGCATCCTCTTTCCACTGAACAGGAGTCTCGGGGGGCCATGAAACAAGCTTTCAAACTTTCTGAAGCAACCCTCAACTCTGAGATGCAAGAGAAGGGGTTAATGGAGGGTGAAGCATAAAAAGCTTGGACTAGGACCAGGACTCAAGATTGGGCTTGGGAAAGAGCCTGCATGGCTGGAGAGAGTATGTGTGTACACCAGCAGAGCCATAGCTAGCCCCAAAGGTGCCTTTGTGCAACGTAGAAAAAGGCACACCTTCCTCTGAGAGTAGTGTGGTCAGCAGTGTGGTGTGAATTCCAGCCCACTCACCACCTTAGCCAGGTGCCTTTGGTTAGTGAATAGTCTGCACAATCATCTATGGAAATGTTGAGAGTGAAGGAACTCAGTGGTCCTAGAATCCAAAAACCTAAGCTCACAATGGTGGTTTTTTTCCTCTCTAAGGTAAAGAGATAATTATGTGGTATGCTGGGGACAT